GCACTCAAGCCCCAGTAGAAAAAATGTTTTAACACAGAAGTTTTTCAATTTCCTCATCAGCAACATTCTTTGAAAGCTGAATTACTAAAAGGTTGCAATTACAGAAAGAAGTTTTTCAGTAATTCTTTTAAATGCAGTAATTCTTTAATTTCTTTTCCCTTATTTTTCATCAATCACATTTAATTTTCCTGTAAGTCAACACAAGGGAACTGACAATAAAAGCCTGACGCAGCAAACCTTTCTGGAGGCCCGTAAGCCAAGTGATTTCAGCTTATAATCAGGATATATTACAACCTGTATTCACAGCTACCCTCACTATGGTCCACCTCAGCTCAAAAGTGTGGTTTTGCATGATTTCTTCTGGGCTGGCAACACTTCACCTTTGTAGTTGTATGTAAAGAACAACTCACTAAAAACATTATTGGAAAGAAATGATCTAAATTGTTTATTTTTACTTCAATTAAATTACTTTGTGCACCTCATTTATCTTACACAGACCACAACTTACTATTGCCATTTATTTACACAAATTCTGCATCTGATAAGCTGCTTATTGGTGAGCACCTACAAAAAAACAAAGATACTTCTCTCAGAGCAGTCCCTTTGGCTCCCTAAATTCAGGTGGGAACAGAAAAGCCAACAGTTGTTGTGTTTAACTTCACCCTGGTTCTAAGACCATACAATAACCACACACACTGCAACCAACTTGCACGACATTTGGTCAGCATCTCAATGGATTGATAGCTTGTCTGTAGAGATCTGAACTTATCAAGGTTCTGCTCAGTGTAGATATCCAGACAAGCAGTTGGCAGCAAGGTTTCTTCTGCACTAATTACATTCTTTTCCAAAAGTTCACCCTGCCTGGGTGTCCAGGTAATTGCAATTAAGGCAGGAATCTGGTAATTAGAAATTCAAGTGCCCTGCCAAGAACAATACACTTCCTCTTAACGTGCTGCCCAAAGAACTAATTCACTTGGTAAGGACAGAAGCTGATGTGAAGTGGCAGAGTAGATGTTGATTAAGCAACAACCACAGAAATTAATTCCCTTCCCCCTAAAATCAAATTCATTACATCTCATTTAGACTCCTAGAAAGTGTTTTATAACCTTTGGAACATTTAAAATAAATGAGAACTCAAAATTTCAGCCCTACAAACAGCAGCATTTTCTGCTCCCCAGCCCATCTGCTTAGAATTGCTGGACTATCTTTTTTTGAAGCTGAAAACATAATGCTGGTCATAGTCCCCTTCAATCTCTCACCAAAATGCTAACTTCGTACCATGACTCAGCAACTACTGTTCATGGGTGTTATTTGATAAATACCAAATCACTTAGTAACCTTTGAAATATGTTTAACAGAGAATAACAAATACCTTTCTTTAAAAAGTACGATGCAAAGCCACTCACAATTTTGCTCTCTCACTGGATAGAAAGATTCTACACTGACCTCTAAATTCCAAATCTTTACATGGTACTGTCAGCTAGAAACAAATGTTTGTTCAGTTTGCTTTGGTTTTTTCTTTACTCTCCTAATACATTTCTTTCTAACTTACAGTTGTTCTTATAAATTCAGAATAACATCTCTATCACAGACCTTGGGCTTAGCCTCTTACACTTTATATTACATTCTTCTTTCAGGAAACAGAAAAAGCCTTTTTCCACTGGGGATAAGAAAACTGTTATTGTGTGTATATTGTGTATGTGTGTGTGTGCACGCATATTTACATGAAGTTACACGGACACAGAGGTTTCTGTCCAAATAAAGCCCTGGAACCATGTGCCTGGCTTTAGACATAGCAGTGCCTATTCATTTTTATATAGCTGAATAATTTGAAATTCAAAGTTGGAGGGCTCTGGGCCAATGCTGTTTAAAATCATTTGGCGGGGGAAGGGAGAGGGAGGGAAATAGGGTGAGGGAGGAATTCCCTTCTTTCTGAATAAAAATCTCTACTAGGTCCATGTTCCTGCCAAATGAGTCAAGGAAAGCGCTCTCCCCAGCACCACACTCTGTGGTTCCCAAATAGCTTCTTTTGGATGACACTGCTACCTCTTTTAACGAGCTACCCAGGCACTATCAAAGGAG